GTGGAACTTGACAGCCAAATTTGGAAGTTACTGCTTCCCAATCAGAAGCAGATCAGAGAATAACTGCAGATAAACTGGTCTATCTCCAGAAACATGCTGCTGCTGGCTGAGCCTAGTCTCACGCCGAAGTCCTCAAAATGCGGCGCTTGGGCAGTGACTTGCACCGTCAGAAACCGACGAAGAAAGGCGTCCTTTAACGTCCGCATGATACGCAGCCAGTTGCCATGTAGGGTTTAACTGTGCTTAGCGGCATCAGGGGAAAACGCAGCAAGACAAGGACGACAGCAAGGTGGCAAAGTCCGATTGGAGCAGGCGGGAGGGGTGGTGGATGGGTCCAACAAACACAGAATTTCACCCAAAAGAGCGGTGTTTGCGTCCTGTAAGATTCTAAAGCCAAACCCTGTTCTTTTTTTCCTAAACCCAACCATGTGCGTTCATTGTTGAAGTAAAAACAACATCAATTTGCAGTGTTGTACCGACGTAGAACATTTATTTTCAAAGAGACTGTATGTAAACCTGAAATTTCCTTTGAAAATGTTAGTGTATTTTGAAAGAAGACAGTGTCCCAGAGCGTCAACAACCAATGCACCCAGGTACCTTGCACATCGTGTGTGGACGTGGAAAGTCCACGACCAAACATCAATATGTGACTATGTGACTATCTCAACTTTGCAGGATGCATTCAGACCCACAGCAGTGATGCGCTCAAACATCATAACGGGCTGCGTAATTGTGAATATGATGCTACAGGAAACAGGTAAAACAAAAACACACACTAAAGAGTCCAGTCTGATTTACTAAACACTAAGACACCATGCTGCTGTTTGTACTCCATGTTTTTTCCCCCTGAGCTCACTGTGGCAGCATCCACTGCAGCAGGGGTCCCACTGAAATGAATGAGTGAACCTGCATTTTTCTGCCGCAGTGAAAGTGTTGTTAAAGAGAGAGAAAGAGAAGCACAGGAGGAGAAAGAGAGCAACACAGGGGGAGAGACAGAAGGAAAGATGTCGTATTTAATCCTCTAGTCTGTGTAGATTATCTCACACAGATCCCTCTGTGGCACAGTGATACAGGAAGCATGTTTGTGTTCATCCTACAACTCTGATAGCATCTGGCTTCACACAAAATACTCCCAACACATATGGAGGTTAGAGTCAGAGGCAAATACGGGGATCATACTGGACAGCTGCATGCAACCCAAACGCCAGAATAAATGTTGGTATTGCACGTTTCTGCAAACCACGGATATAGTGCATTAAGATTTTTATATTACTATGCAGTGGATACATTGAAACGTAATATTCAAGCAACACTGTGGTTAACGTGGTCAGATTTAGGCACAAAAAACATGTGATTATGTGTAGGAAAATGTCATGTTTTGGCTTAAAATACCTAGTTTTGGTGGCTAAAAAGCTGCTGGAAATACAGTGATTGCTGGGGGAAAACAACCACGTTTCTTGGCACTGTCCTGGCAGGAAATGCAGCAATGTCTCTATAAAAACAACCACTTTTTGTGGCACTATTCTGGGGGTAATGCTGCAATTTCTGGGTAAAAAAAAACAGCTTTTCGTGGCTCTATTCTGGCAGAAGGTGTAAGGATTCCTGGGTAAAAAGAACAACCACTTTTGTTGACACTATCCTGGCAGGAAGCACAGCAATGTCTTGATAAAAACAACCAGCTTTCTTGGCACTATCCTTACAGGAAATGCAGCAATTTCTGGGTGAAAAAAACAACTGCTTTTCATGGTGCTATCCTGGCAGAAAATGCAGTGATGTCTACATAATAACAACCACTTATCGTGGTGCTATCCTGGCAGGACATGCAGTGATGTCTCCATTAAAAACATCCATTGTTGTTGCACTAGGAAACACAGCAATGGGTTGCTGAAAAACACCTGTGCTTGGTGCTTAAAAAGCTGCTGAAAATACAGCAATGACTCACTGCAAACCAAACAGTCCCCTTCACCACATACTCTACGTCACTTTAGAAATATGATAAGTATGAAACATATAAATGTAAGGTATCTGTGGTTTGCAGAAATATACAATGCCAACGTTTTTTTCTGGAGACATGGCTGCTGGATGATTAGATCACCCTGCAGCTCAAATTTTGGAATCGCATTTTTACGTTTGTAAAACCTCTCCAAAGACATTTCAATGCATTTTCAAAATGTGCTAAGCGCAAAAACAAGATTTATTTTGATAATATGACATAGGTGACACCAGATTTCCACTCAGTGCTTACAAAATAAGCATAAATGTAAATACACGAGCCGTCGCTTGTCTCCTGTAAACAGAGGCAGCCTCGGTCAAAGTGTCCTTCTCTGTTTACCTCCGTCTCTTCCGGTCCTCAACGCAAACCCAGCAGAAAAAAAAAAAAAGAAACAGAAAACGCTGACTATGCAGGGTCTCTGAACATGCAGGAAGGCAGTGACGATCAGCAAGCCCCACGATTGGCTGGCGAGCACCCCACCCATTTTAAACTCAATAAGGGAGACCAGCTGACTTCTGACAGGAGGAACACTGCTCTGCTGCAGCAGCACTGCACACTGGGCTTTACCTCTTTTTTTTATGCAGGGGAGAGCAATGCAGGCAGCAAGCTCTCTTCTAGCTCTAGTTGAAGAGATACACATTCATAACACTTACATATTAGTAACTACTGAGCAGATTTAAAGGAACACAGTTTAAAGAGCACTACTTGAGGGGGGCTCAGCTGATTTTTTTTCAGGCCGGTCCAGGGACTCAAACCTGCAACTTTTAGGTCACATCCTCCTGTGTTCTTTACAAATTGTCTGTCACATTATAATGTCTGGATTTCAGTTAAGAGGGTACAGATGTTCTCCCCAAATTGAGCATCTATACTTAAAATCAAGGAAAATGTAGGCCTATTTCAGGTTAATACAAGAGTGGTCTGACTATAAAAATCCTAACCATGATTATTTGGTCAATACTGACATCACGATTATTTAACACAATTAATCACTGACTTTGGAAACACCATGCATCTACTCAACTTTAAAAAAAAACCTCATCTTTTTACCAGTAGATTTACTTGAACTTTGACCTTGAATGTTTTTTGCTCTCAGATCTCGCTTGACAAATAGATCTTCATCTCAGTGAGACAGCTTGTGACCCTGTGTCATTCTGAATTTCCTTAAACTCCTTAACTCTTGACTTTCCCCTTAAATTTCGCCTGAACTTTCTTAATCCTGACCGCCTATAAGGCTCTACAAAATATGCAATTTTGAGCTGTCACAGACAGAAGTGACCATTGTAAGAAAGATGTGGTAAAATCAGGAAACTAAAGGAGTTAGACACATTCACAGACAGCCTAAGCCTGCACAATTAATCGAAGAATCGACATCACACTATGGCCAAGTGCAACAACCATATCACAGCAGCTATATAATGGTAAAATGTGTCAAAACATACCATTATAGATGAAGCACCGCGGCCTACAAATCATACTCCAGGTGTAAGGGAACATGCTTGTTTGGTATAGAACCCAGCAAAAATCACATCATCACCAAATTCATATTGTTTTCAGTGAAAATGCAATGCAAAAATGGGCATTCCCAATTAAAGCATGACTTGTATCACAATCATAATATCTGTCAAAATGATCACAATAGGATTTTTGTTTGGCATATTGTGCAGCCCTACATGTCTCGAACTTATCTCACTGTATATTGGGGCCTTAGTTATGTGTGCTACCTGGGCGTCATGGTTCTGAGAAGCACACTTGGAAAACATCTACAGACCTATCAAAATGCTTGGCTTGTGTTGCCCTTTACATGAGTTTGACCTCATGCGCAGGAGTTTCATTAGGAGCTCACTTCGACTAATTATCACTGCCAGGTGACAATCTCACATCTCCAGATATATGTACATGTAAACCTTTCAAGAATAAAAAAATGCTTGTTTTATTTCTTTTTCAAATAAACACAAGAAGGTTGTGCTCTAGAGAAAGGATCAGCTTTATCACTTGGTTACTTCTACAAATTTGAAAAGACGTCTTTTTTAAATTAGTCGAAGTAACGAAATTACACTGGACAGCTGAAACAAAACAAGCCTTCCAAGACTCTAGAAAAGAAAGGCTTGTTTTGTATCATTTGGTTCTACAAATTTGAAAAGACGTCTTCTCTCTGTGGGTGGTACAGCTTTCCAAACCACCCACATGAGCATACAAGGAAATCAAACAGATGATGAAGGCGTCCACTTGTCATCTTACGGTGATTACACGTGGATTACATTCTGCTAAACAACATATAAAAAGGCATCAAATGGATCAAGGGCGTAGGTTTTGTTACAACAGTCGGGAGACGCAATTAATTTCCTGCATTCTGGTATTTTATTTAATGTTTATTTGTATAGGGACAAGTATGTAGCATACATATCAGCCACACCACAGCATTTATAGCCTAAGCTAATGTGTAATGCCTGTCTCTAGCTGGGCCTTAACATACAAAAAACTCAGCAAAAAGAACTCAAGTAACAGAGCAAAGTACAAATGATAAATGCACATGCTTTGCCCTCTGCATCCCCCCCTCAGAATCTACACCTATGAAACAGATCGAGATTAACAGGCTGGTCAGCACCATGCACCCTTGCCTAGAGGTTACCATGGTAACTAAACACAGATGCCAATCATACAGTGACACATAAATCATGAGTGTGAGAGGTAAGGAAAGACACTAGTGCACATACAATATTATTACCATGACCAAATCTCACACCTCTGCATACCTGTGTGTACAGTATGACTTGTGAGGTTTTGTATCAGTAATAATATTAATATCACATCATATATTATAATATAACTCTGATCATTTACTTTACTGTATTTATGATTTTGTACTTCTGAGACTGTACTTTCTTTGACCTCAGTGGTGCCACTTGCTGATTTGTCTACACTTCATGTTTTCAGCTATGTCCCAAATACACACACACACACACAGACACACACACACACACTTACTCCCTCTGAGCGCCCTCCTCACCTTTCTTGAACTCCTCCAGCATGGCGTCCAGCTTGGTGTCGTTGAAGACGCAGTGCAGCGGGTGTTTGTAGAACTGGGTGATGGTCTTCAGCGGGGTGCAGTCGTCCGGGTCCACGAACGCGAGGTCCTTCACAAACAGGATGTCCACAATGTTGGACCGCTCGTTCTCAAACACCGGTATCCTCGTATATCCACTCTGCATGATATCCGACATGGTGTTGAAGTCCAGCACGACGTCCGAGGCCAGCATGAAGCAGTCGGTCAGCGGCGTCAGGACGTCCTCCACGGTTTTGGTGCGCAGCTCCAGCGCTCCCTGGATGATGTTGAGCTCCTCTTTGACCAGGTCGTGGTACGGGTCGGTGACGCGCAGCATCTCTAGGAGTTTCTCTCTGGTGTAAAAGTTTGAGATCTCCTGGTTGAGGATGAGGTCCAGGAGTTTGCTGATGGGGTAGGAGATGGGGAAAGAGAGCACCATCAGCAGCCGCGTCACCCAGATGGTTTTGGAGGCGATGGCCAGACCGTGACGCGACGCCACCGAGTGCGGGAGGATCTCCCCGATGAAGAAGATGCCGAAGGCGCAGATGACCGTGGAGAGCCAGGTCATGCCCAGGATCTGGCACATCCACACGGCGAGCGAGGCGTTAATGATCGCGGTCCCCAGCAGTAAAGTGCAGAGCACGTAGTTACCGTGCCGACGCACCGATTCGATTTTCCGCGCGTAGTTCTGCTCCTTGTCGGTGCCGCTGTTCTGGAGGACCTGCAGCTCCACCGGGTCCAGCGCCAGCAGGCTCAGGTTCAGCCCGCTGAACAGAGCTGACAGCCCGAGCAGCAGCACGGACACCAACACCTGCAGCCACAGCTCCGGTACAGCGGAGCGCTCTACCACGGCCACCCAGAAATCCCGTGTCCGGTAGTGTTCCCATTTGGATCCATCAAAGGCGCACATGGAGTAGTATTTGATCGTCTCCCCCCTCCGCAGGTCCTTGGCCAGCAGCTCCACCAGCACCGAGTTCTGACTGGACGCAGACTTGAAAGAACCTAAAACCTCGATGTCGGACGTCCTGGCGTTCTTGTCCATGCACATGTTCCGCTTCGGGTGAACTTGTCCTTCTCGCCCGGGAGTTGGCTCCTCGATGAAGGCGATCCAGGGCGCGGCGTTGTTGGCGCGAGTCGCCGCGGTGCGGTTCAGCCTCTGCGGGGAGGTGGAGTAATACACCCGCAGCATGAAGCGGGTCCCCTCGGTAGCTTTCAGCACCCCGTCCGCCACGGACAGCTCCGCTCCGGTCTCCTCCGGCCGAAAGCCGAGCAAGCCGAGCGCCGGGGCTGGGAGCAGAGAGCAGGCGGACAGGGAGAGCACCAGCAGGCGGGAGGGAGAGAGCGGAGCCCCGCGGAAGAGCAGGGCTCCGGTTCGGGACCGCGCGGCCGCATCCTCCGCAGCCATGATGCGGTGTGAGATTTCTGTTCAGTCCAGAGCTCCCGGGTCACGTGGCTCTGCGTGGTTCCGGTCCATGTGGGAGAAGGAGGGCGGTGATTATGATGTTCTGTTGCACTGAGACAGAGATGCGCGCTGCACTGTGCCGTGACGTAACTTTCCAATAATAGCCTCGAGCTCACCAAGATGAAAAATGACTTCAGTAATTCTGGAGTTTGTTTATTGAGCTCAGTCACTGATTTGTAGTGAATTCTGAGGATTATTTTGTGCCTACAGTGGTGACAGGTTTACACAGTTTTACTTTGATACAATTTCTGATGTGTGTAGGCTACACAGTCATCATAGTAATAGTAATTACATCACTAAGATAATAATAGTAATAATAATATTGCACTGGTGACATTAATTGTTCTTTATATAGGCTAAGTTTTGAAATTGAATCATCAGTGTATAATTCCTCCTGTATTCCTAAAATGAACTCCACCCTCCCAGTGTTTGCATGCTCTGGACTCTGTGTACCATGGCTCATTGAGATTTATTACCAGCTATGAGCCACTAACTCATCACTGTATCCTGTGTGTCTGGGTTGGCTGGCGCTCCTTACAATTTTGTAGACTTTTTCATTGGCATTCTTTTGCCCACAAAGCAATTCTTGGCCTACTTCCAGCATACTTGTGTGTGTACAAGCAAAAAAACTGAAAATGGCTCTGCTCTCTGTTCTCAGATGCAGCTCCTTATATGTGGAATCTTCTGCAGACAGACTTAAAGTTGCTCTCATTGGTTCCTCTCGGCCGTTTCAAAACACTGATGCAGGATTTTTGTACACAATCTCCTATATGCCAGCGTCACAGTGTGTCTTGGCTGGTCTTTGTGATCATGTGTAGTTGCCTTTTTGCATTTTTATGGTTCATTTCAAGCATATATTAACAATCTTTTTGGTTTTTCTATGCAGTCATCTTATTTGAAGGCTTTTCTGGCTAAATATTAAGCCAGCTCTGACAGTGCTGTTTGGTAATTCAGTCATATATATCTGGGCAAGACTTGGGCCTGTTTTGTCATTTGGTTGGCAATATTGCAGCCCAGTGATTGCAGTGTCAGCAGCCAGAATCAGGCTAGTTTATCTGGCCCGATTATCGAGCATCATTCATATTGAATCTCAGCCGAGTCAGGCAACCAGATATGGCCAGACTTACAGTACAGGCCAAAAGTTTGGACACACCTTCTCATTCAATGCGTTTTCTTTATTTTCATGACTATTTACATTGTAGATTCTCACTGAAGGCATCAAAACTATGAATGAACACATGTGGAGTTATGTACTTAACAAAAAAAGGTGAAATAACTGAAAACATGTTTTATATTCTAGTTTCTTCAAAATAGCCACCCTTTGCTCTGATTACTGCTTTGCACACTCTTGGCTTTCTCTCTATGAGCTTCAAGAGGTAGTCACCTGAAATGGTTTCCACTTCACAGGTGTGCCTTATCAGGGTTAATTAGTGGAATTTCTTGCTTTATCAATGGGGTTGGGACCATCAGTTGTGTTGTGCAGAAGTCAGGTTAATACACAGCCGACAGCCCTATTGGACAACTGTTAAAATTCATATTATGGCAAGAACCAATCAGCTAACTAAAGAAAAACGAGTGGCCATCATTACTTTAAGAAATGAAGGTCAGTCAGTCCGGAAAATTGCAAAAACTTTAAATGTGTCCCCAAGTGGAGTCGCAAAAACCATCAAGCGCTACAACGAAACTGGCACACATGAGGACCGACCCAGGAAAGGAAGACCAAGAGTCACCTCTGCTTCTGAGGATAAGTTCATCCGAGTCACCAGCCTCAGAAATGGCAAGTTAACAGCAGCTCAGATCAGAGACCAGATGAATGCCACACAGAGTTCTAGCAGCAGACCCATCTCTAGAACAACTGTTAAGAGGAGACTGCGCCAATCAGGCCTTCATGGTCAAATAGCTGCTAGGAAACCACTGCTAAGGAGAGGCAACAAGCAGAAGAGATTTGTTTGGGCCAAGAAACACAAGGAATGGACATTAGACCAGTGGAAATCTGTGCTTTGGTCTGATGAGTCCAAATTTGAGATCTTTGGTTCCAACCGCCGTGTCTTTGTGAGACGCAGAAAAGGTGAACGGATGGATTCCACATGCCTGGTTCCCACTGTGAAGCATGGAGGAGGAGGTGTGATGGTGTGGGGGTGTTTTGCTGGTGACACTGTTGGGGATTTATTCAAAATTGAAGGCACACTGAACCAGCATGGCTACCACAGCATCCTGCAGCGACATGCCATCCCATCCGGTTTGCGTTTAGTTGGATGATCATTTATTTTTCAACAGGACATTGACCCCAAACACACCTCCAGGCTGTGTAAGGGCTATTTGACCAAGAAGGAGAGCGATGGAGTGCTGCGGCAGATGACCTGGCCTCCACAGTCACCGGACCTGAACCCAATCGAGATGGTTTGGGGTGAGCTGGACCGCAGAGTGAAGGCAAAGGGGCCAACAAGTGCTAAACACCTCTGGGAATTCCTTCAAGACTGTTGGAAAACCTTTTCAGGTGACTACCTCTTGAAGCTCATCGAGAGAATGCCAAGATTGTGCAAAGCAGTAATCAGAGCAAAGGGTGGCTATTTTGAAGAAACTAGAATATAAAACATGTTTTCAGTTATTTCACCTTTTTTTGTTAAGTACATAACTCCACATGTGTTCATTCATAGTTTTGATGCCTTCAGTGAGAATCTACAATGTAAATAGTCATGAAAATAAAGAAAACGCATTGAATGAGAAGGTGTGTCCAAACTTTTGGCCTGTACTGTATATCTTCCAACGTGCCAAGTTTGGGTCGATGCTGCAGGTCATTTTTGATAACAGAACAATGATGGCAGCGTCAGCAGCCGGAAACAGGCCATCTGATTTGGCCTGATTCATGGCAAGTCTTAGCTGAGTTGGCCAACCGGACGCCGCCCGGCTAATTTAATCCAGCATGCCCAGCTCAGGCAGATGCTGGGCTAGGTCATTTTTGATGACATCATACACAACAAGGACCTGGAGGAGCTGGAAGAGTTCATACTTGGGCAGTGTTGTGGACACCGATGGAGGGACAGAGGCCAAGAGAAAGAGCAGAATCAAGAAGGCTAGGGTGCTGTTTAACACTTTCAGGAAGATCTGGAGCTCAAAATCTAATTAATCAACACCAAAATACACATGTTTGATTCCATTGTGAAGCAGGTGTTGCTGTATGGATCAGAGACACGGTGAACAACAAAACACTCAACAAACAGGCTGCAAACATTCAAGAACACATGTCTCAGGAGAAAACTCAACATCTGGTGGAGAGACAAAGTAAGCAATGCAGACTTGTGGAAAAGAACAAACCAGGATCCTACTGACTCACAAATTCTAAAGAGAAAGTGGAGTTGGATTGGACACACCCTTAACAAACCTGCCACAAATATCAAGCCCTGAAATGGAACCCACAAGGACCTAGGGAAAAAGGTCACCCCAAGAACAGCTGGCAGAGAGGTGTCCAGAAATTTGTAGGAGTGGGATCAGCTTGGGAGATCTACAGCGAACTGCCAACAGCCGAGTGAAATGGCCAATACTCCCTAGAGGAGCAAAGGGCTTAAGTAAGTAAGTAAGAGGTCTACAACTGCCTTAAGTGGTTTAAGGTGTAAGGTAATGTGGAACAGCAGTACACTGCTTAACTTCCATGCCAGTAGATTTGGTTTCTGAAAGACGCTAGCAAAGCAACACAGTACATGAAATAAGCACAGAAGAAAGGTCAGATAGGTCGGCCCGCCGTGTTTAACTATACATCTTTAAACGTTTCAATTAATGACAGTGTCAACAGAAATAAACAAGTTGGCCAGTTTCACATATCTCCTCACATCAAATCAGTTGCCAATTTTCAACATGGAAGAGATTATTGTTGTTAGCATGACGTCACAGTGATTTGGTCTATACTCAGGACATTCCCCCTGCTGCTCACAGTCTCATCTATAACATGTTTACCACTTCACTGTGAGTGGCACAGTTCCAGATTTTAAACTCGATGACATCATTAGTTTGAGTTTTAGCACTCTAGTTTTTGGATTTGGGAGTGAGTTGTTCATGTTTATGTAGGGCAGCTGCATGTCTTAGCCAGTAGGACGCGCTGTTGTGTTGTCTATAACGCAGCAAATGTGGAAGTTTGCATTGTTTGTCCCTGGCAGGACACCATAGCTTTGAGATTTGCTCTATTCAGGAAGCCATGTTTTTCAAAGTTATGTTTTTCTATTCAAGGTTGATGATTTTGTGGAGGCTGTGATGCCAGCAGCCACTGTGACAGCCATCAGCAGAGATGTTACTGTATGTTACTGTGAAATAAAACGCAGTCAAGGTCTCACCCACAATCCTGAATCCTGTGTCTTGTGCCTCTATCTCTCTCTGCACGACACTGCCCCTATCAAGAAAACATCCCAACGCAGTCCAGGGGAGGAGTAGAGAGTCTGGCAACAGGTGTGCAGAGGCAGTGGGTTACATTTACTAATATTTTTGGACTGAATTAGACCATAGGAATAACATTTTTGAATTTTGAAAATGTTCATAGTGCCCCTTTAAATGCGTCGAATGAGACCAGCTGCAGATTCAGGTTATTTTATAACTGATTCCAAGCTAATGTTTTATAGACCAGTGAGGCTGTCAGTCAGTGATAAAGAGACTTTCTGGTTTGCCATTTAGTGCAAAATCCTTTTGACTGGTGTTTATCCTCCAACATTTCACCTGCCCTTATCAGGGTTAGACCCCTCCAACTATTTGATCAAATACCTCCTGGAAAAATGCCAAAATGACTTTTCACAGCCTGGCAACCCAAAGGTTTGTCTGTTAAAGGTTCAGTGTGTAAGATTCACAAGATGAACAGATGTGATTTAAACCAGTAAAAACTCAGAATAAAGCAGTTTTCAGTGATTTTCTGATGCTCTTGTCACGGAGGAGCTGCTAACTGTGCTGGCCGAAGCAAAAAA